TGACAAACATACATTGGAGAAAAGAAATTTTATTCAATAAATGATCCTAGAAAATTGGATATCCATGTGCAAAAAAAAAAAATTAAACTAGCCTCTCACCAAAATCAGTCAGACTTAAATGAAAGGACTCAAAACTATGAAACTAACAGAAGAAAAGATAAGGAAAATGCTTCGGGGCATTGGAACAGACATGGGTTTTGTGAATAAGACCCCAAAAGCACCTGAGACAAAAATAAAAATTGAAAAATTGGATGACCTCCAACTAAAAAGCTTTTGCATAACAAAGGAAATCAACCTGAAGAACTGACCTGAAGCATGGAAGAAATATTTATCTCACAAGGAAAGGATCGAGGTCCAGAATATATAAGTAACTCAAACAATTTTTTTAAGAATCTGATTTTAACATGGGCAAATGACCTACACAGACATTTCTTAAAAGAAGACAAACAAGAGCTGAGATGTAGCTCAGTGGTCTAGCATGTGTGAGGCCCAGGGTTCAGTCAGAAGGAGGAGAAGGAGGAGGAGAAGAAATATAAACAGCCAGCAAGTTTATGGAAAAATTCTCAACATCACTAATTATCAGAGAAATGCAAATCAAAATCATAGTGACCATCCATCTCACCTCCATTAGAACAGCTGTCAAAAAAAGACAAAAATACTAAAGTAGGCAAGGATGCAAAGAAAAGGGAACTCTTGTACCGTATTGGTGAGACTATAAATCAGTACATCCATTATATGAAATGCTATAGAGGTTCCTCAAAAAAACTAGAAATAAGCCTGACACCGCGATATATGTCTATAGTCCCACTTATTCAGGAGGCTGAGGCAGGAGGATCATTCAAACCCAGGAGTTCCAGACTAACCTGGGCAACATAGCAAATCTCATCTCCAAAAAACAAAGCAAACAAACTAGAAGTAGAACTGTCCTGTGATCCAGCAATCACTCTACTAGGTATATACACAAATGAAACAGAGTCAGTATGTCAAAGAAACATCTGCATTCACATGTTTATTGCATCACTGTTCACAACAGCCAAGGGTGTAGAATCAACTAGGTGTTATGGTTTAGATATTAGGTATCCCCCCCAAATACTCATGTGTAAAACAATGCAAGAAAGTTTAGAGGCAAAATGATTAGGTTATGAGAATTTTAACCTAATCATCAAATTAATTCCCTGGTAGGAATTAACTGGGCGGTAACAACTGTAGACTGGTAGGGTGTGGCTGGAGAAGGTGGGTCCTTAGGGATATGTCTTTGGGGTATATATTTTGTCCCTGGAGAGTGGATCAATCCCTGCCCCTCACTCACTGTTACTCTCTCCCTCCGTCCCTCCCTCCTGATTCCATGTTCTGAGTCAATTTTCCTCCATACTCTTTTGTTATGATATTCTGCCTCACTTTGGACCCAGAGCAATGGTGTCAGCTATCTATGAATTGAGACCTCCGAAACCACGAGCCTCAAAATAAATTTTTCCTCCTCTAATTGTTCTTGTCAGGTCTTTTAGCCACAGCAGTGAAAAAGCTGACCAAACCACTAAGTGTTCATCAACAGATGAATGGATAAAGAAAATGTAGTACATATACACAATTGAATATTATTCTGTTATAAAAGAATGAAATTCTGTCATCTGAAGCAACGTGGGTGAAACTGGAGGACATTTTATTAAGTGAAATAAGTCAGGCACAGAAAGACAAATACCACGTGGTCTCCCTTAAGTGCAGAAGCTAGAAAGTTGATCTCATAGAAATAAAGAATAGAAGAGTGGTTTTCAGCACCTGGGAAGAACATGGGGGAGGGCGGGATGGAGAGAGAGGATGGTTAATGTGTTCAGGTTGCCTAAGAGGAGAAATAACCTCTAATTTTCTACAGCACAGCAGGGTAACTATGGTTGACAGTAATTAATTATTTCAAAAGAGCTAGTAGAGATGATTTTGAATGTTCCTGAAACAAAGAAATGATAAGTATTTGAGGCAATGTTTATGTCAATAACCCTGATCTGCTCTTTACACGTTGTGTACAGTACTGATATATAACGTTGTACCCCATAAATTTGCACAATCACTGTGTATCACTCAAAAATAAAGCTATGTTTTTTAAAACATTCTTGGGAATTTTATATCCACAAAAACATAGCCAACTTGAACTGAAGGGAGCAGAGAAAGGACAAAATGAAAGAGAGCTGATAACCCCCCCACCCCCCAAAATTCTGTCAGCAGGCAGCAGGCTGAAGAAACTACTGAGTGCACACCCATGCAGTCGTCATGCAAAAGGAACGATGTCTCGGAGGAATAAGCCACAAGCACACAAGACCAGGAGTTATTCCCAAGCCTTGAAACAGTGGAGTTTGCACCACGGAATTTCAAAATTGCTTGGCCCTGGTGACCCCTTTCTTCTTTCCATTTCCTCCCCTTTGAGACTGGAATGTCTATAACCGGTGTTCTACACCTGTCCTACCGTTGCCCTTTGGAAACAGATGAGCTATTTTCTAGTTTTGCAATCTAAAGATGGGAGGGGAATTTTTCCCATAATGAGTTCCACACCTGACTTAAATTATTTAGATGATGAAATCTGGAACTTTTTTCAGCTGATGAGATTAGAGGAGATTTTAGATTTAGAGCTGGAGGACATTTTATTAAGTGAGATAAGTCAGGCTGTAATAATTAAAACTTTTGAAGGTATTGGGATGGAGTCAATGTATTTTGCAAGTGAGAAGACATGGAGCTTTGGGGACCAGAGAGCAGACATTGTGGTAAGCAAAATAATGGCTCCCCAAAGATGCCCATGAGCTAATCACTATGACCTGTGAATATGTCACTTCATGTGATAAAAGGGATCTTGCAGTTGTGATCAAATTACAGATCTTGAGACGAGGAAATTATTTTGGATGATCCAGGTGGGCCCAGTATAATCACAAGAGATAAGAATATAGGGAAAGGCCTCCCCAAACTCCTAAAGCGAAGTTACTTTCCCCCCCCAAAGAAGCTGAAAATCCCTCCCAGTTGTTGCAGCGTAGCAGACATCCTAGAAGCAGTTGCCAAATTAGAGAACACACAGATGACACAGCAGAGAGCCATCCTGGGGTCCCTACACTTGTGGAATAAATGCATAAGTGATAGATAAGCAGGGGCAAGTCTCTTATAAGGTAGACAAGGCCAGGGAAATTTTATTTCAAAAATTTTATTAATCACTTACTACTTTCCATGTGCAATAGTAGGCTCTGAGAACCTAGAATTATCTAGATCAGCAAGACCCCTGCCCTCCTGAAGCCAAATTTTCATAGCAGCCTTACTAGGATCAAGAATGGCATGAACACTCAACAGTGAGAACAGACCTTGTACAATGCAAAGAGAAAAGTAATCAAGTCTGTATTCTCTTAACCATACCCAGCTTAAATACTTCTCTCTTCACAAGACAATTAACATATCTGTAGTCTTGTTACATGTCATTATACAATACATGCAGATTTGCAATATATCATTAACAAGCCTTAAGTTGTCTAACAGTGAATATGCAAATCTTGTTCCATAATGTTGGTTCAGTTATTCTAAAGAAATCCTTTTGTTATCTTCATAAACGAACCCTGCCAGGGATTTGCATAGAGAAATATCCAATCCACCTCTCTACCATATCTGACCAGTTCATTTTTCTACTTTAACCTAACAAATTCCTCACCCCCACTGTGAGAGTAAAGTACAAAACCATTAATGTGGCCTACAGGCAGGGGTAATATTTACAACACTTAATAACAAGTACATAGCCTCCTACCTATCAGAATGCACACTGGCCATAAATCATCAGTCCACTCAAAACTGTGCATATCAGCAGAACATCCAATGTAACCTGGCCTGTGACTTCCTCGGCAATGACTTGCCACCATTCAGCCATGCTAGACCTCTTTCTCTTGGTCTCTTCCTTAAGACCTTCTTACATATTATTTCCTCTGCTGAGAATGTTCTGAGCCCCACCCCTTCCTATACCAGGCTTTTTATTCATTTTTCAAGTCTCTGCTGACATGCCACTTTTTCAAGGTAGCCTTTCTCTGCCACCATCTACTACTCCAGTTAAATCAAATCTTCCTCTATTACTCTTTTTTGGCAGCCTAGCTATCACCTTCATTGTAAGTATAGGCGTTTTGATTCAATAATGACCTGTGCAGTGATTGTTTCCTTCATTATATCTTAGAGCAGGGGCTGCATCTATCTTACCTACTCAAACTGGTAACCCTGCTATTAGCACATTGCCTAGTATGTAGAAGGAATTTCAAAATGATTCCTAGTGCTTATCAAGCATTTACTACGTATCAGAAATTGTAGTAATCACTTTAATAGACTATCTCCTTTAATCCTAGTAACAGCCCCATGAGGTAGCTATTACAAGGGTCTATTATTTTAGGTGAAGACACGGAGGCATAATCAAGCTACGTAATTGCCCAAAATCTCAAAGCAAATCAGAAGTAGGGCTGGAAGCTGAACCCCGGCAGCAGAGTGCCAAAGCCCATGCTTTTAAGAATCACACTATACTGACTTTTCAAATACTTAAAGAATTTAATAAATTGTAATCAAGTTTAGAGCTGGCAGAGCCAACTAAGCTGCACCCCAAAGAGAATGCAACCATAAAACATCCTCTGTGCTCACAGTCTATCCATGAGATGAGTGATATGGGCATAGATATAAGTAAAGCCAGAGATAACGACTGGAGATATGCCCTGGGTGAAAAAAAGTGCATGACTGGCCAACAGTTCTCAAGGGTTTTGCAAATTAATTCCCCTTTCGATCCCCACCAAAATCCCCAGAGAAACACTTCACTACCAAACCAAATATTTTACCACCACGCCCCCTAGTGCCTCCTCCCACTCTCAGAACACTGCATATCTATTTGAATACTCTTCAGGACAATTACACAAAGAAAATAGCAAAGGCGATTCACACACCAGATGAGCACTCCCAGATCAGCCCTCCATTCTGACCTCTGCCCCATACAAAGGAGGAAGTGCCCTTACCTTGAAATAAAAATGCTTTGCTAGCATTGTGCAGTCCAGACACCTGCGTGACTCCAAAGGTGGTATTCACAAGATCAAGTTCGGTGATAAAATCCATCTGAAGGTCAGGGTCCATACCAAAGCCCACCACTGGAAAGGAACAAACAGCTGTTATGACTTAAAAGGCAGATGACCAGCAAAAATATAGAGCAGAAATCATAGAGGCAGGGACTGGCAGGGAACACGGGGGAGCCAGTGAAGGATATTCCCTCTCCTGGAGACTTCCTCTCCCTAGAAAGCAAAGGAAAGCAATTGTGTCCTATCACCCCTCGGATGGTGCACCTTCTTTGTACCTTTTCCCAGCCTCACTCCCCACTGTAAATGGATAAGCCCCCATCCAAAATCCCTGAGGCTAAATATATTTTGGAATTCAGAATGTTTCGTATGTTTGAAAGGTCCTACATACTACATACTACAAATATTATGTGAGTCTTTCAGCAAAGTTGGAATGGAATTCTGTATTTTTGTATTGGAAAGCACAATATTTTCCTTTAATTGGCACAAAAACTATAAATAGCTTAATACAAGTTTAGTTCAAATTTTGCCACCAAATGAGTTCAACTCAGGACAGATTTTGCTAGCTGGTGAATTATATAGAAATTTGGGGATTTTAAAGCTTTTTTTTAGATTTGCAGACTACAGATACTGCATTATGACCCTGATCTTCCTGCTTCAAGGAAGCTGCAAGAGCAAAATCTGATACAACCACCAACAGTAAACACTAGCACAGAGTGAGCCCTATTAACCAGGCCCAACAACCTGCAATAAAGAGGAAGGAAATGGAGAGGGTTCCTGCCCCTGTTGGAAAAAAAAGGGGGGGTGGTAGAGAGACTGACCAAAAAGGAGGATCCCTGGAAGAATAGATGTATATTTTTACCCAAGGGAATTTCTGGAAGTTAGATACCCTGACATCTCTTGTTGGAGGATCTAAGTGCAAAGAAACATGGCCCCAAATCTCCTCCCTTGTCTGAGAAAGGCGAATCCCCAAGGTTGTCTCTCCCAGGGAATGATTGTGAGGAATGATTCATTCATGATTGCAAAGTGATTTCCAATTATATATATTAATAAGGCTACAGATCATTCTAAGGGACTGTGTTTAAGCCATTCATAAAGGCTGTTTCTATCGACGCTTAGCATCTCAATAGTGCAATTCTGATTGCGCAGTTGGAAATGTTTTAATCAGCAACAGCTGTCAACTTCCCTCTGATGGTAATGCAGTCACCAAGGCAGGATTCGGAGAGCTTGCACCCAATTTGTCCCACAGAGGCTTAGTGAATATTCATCAGAACATCACGAGCCACCACGACCTCACCTGTCCCCCCTCCCACACCCCCCTCAAGACCTACAGATTCGGGGAAGGAAAACTACCCTCTCCTTCCTCTTTTCATTTTAGGAAGCAGAAACTGCTACAGCTCTCCAGTCTTCTGTCATCAGAAAGTTGGTCAGAAATGACTCTGGAGCTGCAACTTGTCATTGCCAAGGCAGAAAATTGGTTAAATTGAAAGTGTAGGACATATAATGGCCTCTCCATTTTTGTCAGGCTTCCCTGGGTCTACCGAACTGAAGGTGTAAGTTTCCTCCTTTGAAATGCAGCCAGTTATGGGATCAGTTTACCCAAAGACAACATTTTTTTTTAAAGAGAGAGAGAGAGAGAAAGAGAGGATTTTTTAATATTTATTTTTTAGTTTTCGGCGAACACAACATCTTTGTTTGTATGCGGTGCTGAGGATCGAACCCGGGCCACATGCATGCCAGACGAGCGAGCGAGCTACCGCTTGAGCCACATCCCCAGCCCCTGAAAGACAACTCTTACTTGCACTGACTGCACTCATTCATTAACAATGTTTTCAAAGAGGCACTGCTAAGGACTTACTATGTACTATATATATATATTGCTAGGCACTGGATAGGTCCTCATGAAGCTTGCATTCCCAGTAGGGGAGGGAGACAAGAAATAAATAAATTTTTAAAAATAATAATTTGAGGTGATAACAATGCCAAGAAAAAAATAAAGAGTAATGGGATAGAAAGCAACTTGTGCAGGGAGCCCTACTTTAGATGAGGAGGTCAGGGAAGGTTCTTTTGAGCTAAAACCCAAATGACGAGAAGTAGCAAGATCTGCCGGGAAGGTTTTTCACAGGTAGAGTTCAGCAAATGCAAGCAAGGAACATACTTGAAGTGTTCAAGGAATGGAGAAGAATAGTGTGGCTGTGGCAGAATGTGCCAGGGGACAGTGGTAGAAAACAAGACCACAGGTAGGCAAAGGCCAGATCACATAGGTCCTGTCACCCACAACAAGGAGTTTGGATATTATTGTAATGCTAAGAGGATATCATTGGAGGGTTTTAACGTTTATGTTTAAGGAAAATTGAAGTTTCTACCTGCCCACTCTTGCTCATCCTACACACTGTCTCAGTTCACAAGTGCCTACTCTGTGCAAAGCAGAACTGAGATGGACAGTTTTCTGTCATCCCAAGTTACAACACCGTGAGCCTGTGGTTGAGACCTCTGATGTTTTTCTCCAAGTGAGCTCAGATGCTAACAGTTCTGTGATCACCTTGAAAAGACAGGAAAGGAACTAATATTTCAGTTTGATCTATAGTGTTCTACACCTATATGGCAGAAATTAAATCAAGAGTGATCTCAGAGGACCTCCAAGCTGGTCTTTCTCTGGCCAGGAATTTTGAAAATGGCCTGGGGAATGTGCCCTTAGCTGGACACAAAAGGAAGGAAGTATCCTTGTTGCTCCAGTGCCTTGCACCAGACCTGACATATTACAGGCTTTTAATTTAGGACTTGATTAATTATCCAATGCGTGGGTGCATGATCATTGCTTTGGGAGCAATGATCTCAGAGCAATATGCTTATCTGGGGACAACATGATAATACGGGATGGCATACAGGTCAAAGAAACTTTCAAAAGAGACTGTGTTTAACTGAATTATTGGCCCTCCCCTATCTATCCTCTGTGCTGTGTGACTTTGCAGTTTCTTCTAGTGAGAGTAAATCTCCCCATCCCTTGACTTCAAGCCCAGCCTTTCAATCTGTCTTGGCCACTGGGATCTTGATGACACTACACAAGCAGAGGCTTAAGTGTGCTTGCATGAAGGAACTACTTTCTTGTACTTCTGAATCTTTTTTATTATTATTTTTAGTTGTAGATGGACACAATACCTTTATTTTATTTATGTGGTGCTGAGGATGGAACCCAGTGCTCCACATATGCAAGGCAAGTGCTCTACCACTGAGCCACAACCCCAGCCCTGTATGTCTGAATCTTGATGAGAACATGGCTCTGCAGCCACACAGGTCAAAGAGGATGGAGACTTGAGAAGCAGACCAACTCTCAGATATGTGAACTAAAATAAATGCTTGTTGTTTGGGATGGCTTGCTAATAGCCAGTTTCTGTCCTATCTCTTCCCCCTACGAATTCTGTGCCCTTGGAAAAAATCACTTCCCAGAGCCTTAGTTTCCTCATTTGTAAAAAAAAGGAAAAAATAATACCTCCCCCAACAACACCTGAACACTCCAGCTCAGGCTGCCACCTAGTTGGTATATAGCTGAGGTTGCTCCATCTGTCTTTCATACGACATAGTTTTCCAGACTTTCCCTGGTGCTCAACTCCATTAAAATAATGTAAAAGCTACATAAGGCCTTTCTCCAAGCTGATAACTGTTTTGCTCTTTTTGTGAAAACACCCCATAAAAACAGAACAAGAGAAAATAAATCAATTAGGCTTCTGGATATAGTTTTCTTCTTTCCCTTTAATTGTTACCTTTCAGGATGGAAATGCCCAGTGCCAATAGCAGGATGTGTAAGGGATAGCACTTTGCACACTGCCTAGGGAATCAGAAAACCTATTAATAAGGCAGCATTTACATGGCCTCTCCAGACCTTTTGGAGTGTGAGTGTTGGTTCCATTCAATTTTTTTTTTATTTTAATGTTTCTGTTTCTTGTCCAAGCATGGAGTTCCTGCCCTTTCCTAGGGAAACCCTATTAAAATTTTCGACTTTTGACATAAAGTCTCTACAAATGGCTGAAGCTGGGAATTAGAATTAAGCAGGATAAAAAGCTCCTGGGGAAAAGATATTTTAAAAAGCTGGAAGGCAGCATGTCAAAGTCACAGAAGCACTTGAGGCCTGGCGCTGGGATTCAGAAACTTCACCTTAGCCAGGACACCTGCTGCTGTTAGTCACTCCTTAGCCCTGCCCAAGGAGTGCTGGAGGCCAAAGCCCACTTAGTCCATCTTTGATGTCTAAGACCTAGGCTCCCAGGCAAATCCCCTGGGTCTGGCTCACTTCAAATCTAATCTGGCTCATTGCCCATGGTGGCAGCTGTCTCCCTGGTCCATGCAGAGTAAAATGATGCTGAAAAGATGCTCTAAGACCTCATTTACCAGCAGGATTTCACAACCACTTGATCGGCTCTTAATACCCCAAAAGCATTTTTCTCAAAGAATATGCTTTATGCTTGTTCCAAGTTGGCTGATATTTTACATGATCACTGAAGGCTGGGGGCACATAGTCACCAGTCCATTACTCAATTCATAATTAATGAACCACCTGGGAATTGCTTCAAAAAGAAAATCTCTCCTTTCCAGCAGGTGGCAGCAAAAGGCATTCAGTAGGCACCTAAAGGCATTGGTGTTTCAGGTATTTCCTTTACCCTCTTCCCTGCAGACCAAAACAAACTGGAAATCAGTGGCAGAATAATCATTTTAGAGCTCATATTATACTTCTAGGCCACTGGAGAAGATTCATGGACGTGGTGTGCTATTACTGCTATTACTGTAGGCTTCTAAATTTTCATTATTAATGATTACCCGGAAATCCCAGATTCTCACCCAGAAATAAGAACAAGAACTGGAGAACAACATCTTCTATCTTAACTAACTCGACTTTGCACCCTAAAACAAGTTCTCTGAACGAGAGCAGCGTAAGCAGCTTCCTTAGGACACCTATCATTAGATCTTTTCATATGTAACTGCTTCTGCACTGCAGTCTTGCTTTAATTAAAATGTGTCTGATATCATCTATTCATTTCCATTAAAAGGCGGTGATATCTGAGCAGCTCACTAAGTGAACCACATGTTTATTTCATCTAGGACTGTTAACAGCTCAGACAACAATTGTCTCATTTGACAAATAAACTTCCCAAGCAGCTGTTTGGGTCCTGATAAACTCATCACCAGCCATCCTCTGCTACCTAAAGAAGAGGATGGATGTCTGATGTGGGAATGGGGATTTCTGGAAAAAATCAAAGAGATTGTCCCCAGAAAGCTACTCCCTTAAGCTACAAGAAATTCTAAGTGTATGAATTAAATCCCCCCCCATATCTGATTCTTCTGACAATTTTTGAAGGAGAAATAGGTGCCTTCTGGTGTGTAGGCAGTACCAAGTGGCACTGAAAACCCAAGCTCCCAGTCTTGAGCCACAACCAGTGGGTCAGATCCACTCATGTTCTTAGTCCTTGCACAAGCTTTTCCCTCTGCCAGGGATGCTTTCCCACTTTATCCCTTCAGAGTTTACAAGACACAACTCTCAAATGTCACCTTCCAAATACAGACTTCCCTGATACCACCACCTTTCCAGAATTAATTCACAAACTCCCTCCTCTGTATTTCCTTAATACAAACTTCTTTAACCCCACCTCCCACCATCCCATCAACTATAGAATACAAAATGCTTTCCATTTTCTATCTAGATTCTCAGCTAATCTATAAGTTCTCGGTAATGAAGAACTAAGTCATTTTCCCTTAAGTTACTGGGCACCTAACAAGAATGAAAAAATAAATGAATGAATGAATCTTCCTTCACAACCAAATATGTATAAGATTTAAAGGGAAATGGGATTGAGCAGGAGAATAAGACCATGTTCTTAAAGACTTCCTCCACAAGCAATGAACCCTGGAAACAGAATCCACTCCTGGGTATGCATACTTTTTGGCAACTTTTCAAAGGAGTGATGTGAACAAAGGATTTAGACAGATTCCACATGACTTGGTGATATGCACTTAAGAGTGTAAACTGACCCATGGGATGCCTCTCCCCCATCTAGTGTCTCCTTGTCTTCCACTCCTCTGTAAGATGCTCACCAGCCTCAGACTCCATACCACTGATAGGGAGCCCAAACTCTGCCCTAACCTCATCTTTCTGGGACCTGGTCCCTTCCAGTGCATTCTTGGTTGTAAAAGGCTAACCCATCCCAACAACGCCTGAATTCAAGAAGCAACTATTCTAGATTTAAAACAAACAATCTTGACCTCTCCGCAGTCAGGGAAACTCGGATAAAGAAAAGCATGATGGTTCTTTTGTCCCTGGAGAAATCTCTCCTTGACGCTCTACAATTAAGCAAAGGTAAGCGGCTTAATCCTGTGGAAATGGTAAGGGCCAGCTCAAAGCTCCTAGATGCCCAACTCTTGTATTTCCAAGGACTACTTGCCTTAGAGGGGAGCCTGGGGCTCAAGTAGAGGGAACTTTTGAGCCAACCAGGGGCCAGCACCCCTCAGCACTCTGCGGATGAAGTTGCTCCCTGTCCTGGGAAGGAGGCTATACTTCCTGAGAAGAGGCATGGGAATGGTAAAGGGATGAAGATAAAGGGAGAGGAAATGACCACATGTCCACTCTGGGGTTCAAAGACAGTGGGCAACGTATACTGAGGATGGCTGGCTTAGAACTGAAAATCCCCAACACTCCCTAATCCGCAGGCCCTAATTTTACCAATTTCCACCACCACCCCCCAACCTCATTCCCACTCCATGTCTCCCAGCATCTGCTACTAGTTTCTCGAAGTAGAAGGCTATGTCCAGTCTCGGAACCCCAGGGGACTTGGGAACGCAAGGAAGCGGTGCGCTTAGAGTCCTTACAACTGCGTCTCCGGGGGCAGAAAGAAGTGGGGACTTGAGACATTAGCCAGTTGCTCCCCACCCCACAACCTTCGATTATATCAAGGGAAAACTGATTTGAGAAAATCTCCTAGGATTGTCTCCACTGCTCCAATTTCAGAAATAATTGTTCGCCCAGCCCTTGGGGAGGGAGGCAGGTGGAGGACAATACTACTGGAGTCCCCCGGGGAAAGTCAGGAAAGGATAAAATGAGATCCGCCGGATCCCGGGCTCCCCCGCAGCCCTTTCCCAAGCTGCGCCTCACCCTCCCCGGCCCGGGCCGCGCCCGCCGGCCGGAAGCGCTCCCTCTGCGGGTGCAAGTCCTGCGGTTGCCGGTTTCTCGCCGGCGGGTCTCCAGGAGAGCTGTTTCCACAGCGCCTTTCAAGTTCGGGGATGTGAGACCCGCCCTCCTGCGGGTTTCGCCTCCCCAGAACCTAGAAGCGGGCTACTAACAGCAAAAGGGTGCGACAGCTCGGCCGCGCCCCTCACTCCTGAGAACCCGCTGCCTCGACCCCCGGGAAGGGGACACTCAACTGGGGTGCCTAGTAGCCCTTGAGTCCGGTTTCCTGCCCTTTCACCCCAAGCCGGGCAGAGAGATCTAAGGTACCAATCCACCCTTCTACCCTTCTCCGGACCAGCGCGGAGCTCGGCTCCAGGTCTCCCACGCCAGTGTGGACGCTAGGCACAGCAGCGGCGCCCCTTTTTCCGCGTATCCCTCCACCCGCCCCAGCCTTGCTTACCTGTCCTGGCAGTGCACACACAGAACCATAAAACTAAAATCACATCCATCGGCATTGCTCGCGAGGGTCCCCGCTAAGCAGGGCGCACCGAAGCCAGGAAGAAACAAATGCGCCTAGAGATCCCGAGACGCGCCGGGCTCGGAGCCGCCAAACTTGCTAGCGGGCGGCAGGGGAGGTAGCTCGGCAGCGCCGGGTGCTGCGCTAGGGGATCGCGCCCGGGATGGCAGTCCCGGCCGCCCCGCCCCCAGTCGGCTCCCCCACCGTGGGCGGTGGTGGCGCGGGGCTCGGGCCCCGGCCCCCGCTGCGGCTGCGCTCGCCTTAGGAGCTGGAGCGGGAGCGCAGGGCTTAGCCACTCCGGCAGGTTGCCCTCGAAGCGGGGCTGATCCAGTTCTCTTCCTTCGCCTACGGAGAAGCGAAGATCCGGGAAGCAGGCGCGGCTGCAGCTACCACCCAAAGCACCGGATCGGGAGAGTCCCGGGACCCGCGGCCGTAAGGGAGGAGCTGGAGGCGCAAGGCTTCACGCGCTCCACTCCCTCCGATCTACCCTCGCCACTGTCGCCGCCTCTGCCTTGGCGTGGCCGTGGGAGCTGCTGAAGTTGCCACAGTTCATCCCGGACGAGTCGAAAAGCCGCCGAGCCCTCGTGGGTGGGTTTTTGTCCTCGGGGAACCCAGACCGAGGCGGCGCCACCGAGCGTGCCCAGCACCTCCTTGGAAAACAATTACTCGGGATTCGCTTTGGCAACTGGGTGGGGAGCGGCGGATGGGGACCTGAAGGAGATGATGGCTGAGACCCTGCTCACCGCCTGTACCTCTGTCTCTTCTCGTTAGGCGGAACCTTATAACTGGGTGTACGCTTTTGGGGTGCAGGAAGAGAGAACTGAGGAGGAAGGTACAGGGAAAAGGGATCCCTAAAGAGATTAGGGTTGAGGTTTGGGGAGTCTATTTGCAAACCTTGTTCTGCAGGGCAAATGCTGCCACATAGGGGAAATTCTCAACCATTTTTTTTTTCCCTTGCGTGACTTTCTTGATGGTTTTGTCAAAAACCCAGTCTCATTTACTAGTAATATTTTGGCCTCTCCTGCAGTTCCTCGGGGAACACCTCTACCCCCCTACACACACACACACACACACACACACACACACACACACACACACACACCAATTCTCTGAAGATAAAATGCTACCCCTTGGAGACGGAACCTTCCCGATGAGAATTTCCAGGTTGGAGATCTCTGTCCCATTTCTTATTTGTCCCACTTCTACTCAGGAATGTTATTTATAACTGGAGTGTGGAGTCGTGAAATCAGGAAATGACAGAACCTCTGATTTATACCAAATGAGCTCTACATGATTTAAGCTCCCCAACTTGGTCAACTCTACCTCCAAGCCCCTGCCCCTCAACACTACCCTTGCAACACCCACAAGAAAAATCCCAGAGGAGAAAAAGAAAACTCCCAATAACCCTCCCTCATTTCCTAGGTACCAATTCAGAATCCTCTTCAAGAATAAGGACTTGCCTTTCTCACTTTTTGCCCACCCTCTCACTTCTGATATCCTTAAACCCCAGACACCTTTGACCCAGGGAGCCCCAATAATGGTCACCAAATTAGCAGTACATCTTACTAAGAGAGAAGATCTTACCCACATGCTCGTCTGGTTTCTGCCCTATTTTCCGGATATTTCTGTATGCAAGCCACTGTCCCACTTGGCCCTGTATATTATGGTCCCTTGGCAGATGAAAAAGAACGTGAACAAACAGGTAAATTCTTGCTCAAGAACTATACTACTCAATCCAGAAGCTGAATAGAAAGATTAAGAGGTAAACTGACTCTTGATTCAGCTGACTCTTCAACTTCACAACAATTTAGCTTGGCCCCAGAGGGGTCCTCTCTGCCTCCATGCTGGGTCTTCATCAGACTCAAGATTTTTTCCTTCTGCTTGGAACAGGTTATATTTAAGCTACTTTAAATCACACACTTTGCAGGAAATAGGATCTCCCAAGTCTAGCTGGGCCTTGTGAGCAAGGACACCATACCCCCTGTGTTTCTCTCTGCACCTCATCATCCCTTAGTGGCTTTGGACCACTCTTCTCAAGGTGCATTTCTTCTCAGAAATCCCAGATTCCCTAAAAGCTGCAGTGATTCCAGCAAGGGGAAAAGGCTGGTCTGGGTAGGTCTTTTAGAGCTCTGTACCTCCAAGTCTCTATGTAGTTAGCTGGTCCTGTGGGGTGGGGCTTTTGCTCTTTCCATTAAAAAATAAAGTGAGACATATGTTCTGTCATAGCTTTGCAGCATCACATCCATTAACTTAGAGTTAATCTCAACAAGGTCATAAATCTTTCCTAGATAACTAATATTTCAATCTGCTCCCGTAAGTGTATTTCTGAGTAGGGATTTTGGATGTATAAACCCATTAGGCTTAGAAAACCATCACAGAGTAGGCCCATAAAATGTCGATGGCTATGTGTGATAGGATGATGCACTGGGACCTGTCTCAGTGCGGACAGCAGCAAGAGTTGTCTTACCAAATGTCATATCCCAGTATACCTTCCCCTTTACCATGACCTAGCTCCCTGGTTTCTCCAGGAACTGGTAGCTTCATTTGATCATCTCTCCACTGCTTCTTCTTCACCCCTAAATATTGGGGAGTTCTGGGGCTCAGTCCTCAGTTTTCTCTTCCAGAGAAATATACTCACTTCCTGTGATTTTTATCCAGATTCATGAAATTGAATATCTAAAATTGAATGACTCTCATGTATATTTCCAACCCCAGTCTCTCCTTTGAATCCTAGGCTTACATGCCCAACTACTTACTAGGCAACTTAAGTATAACATTGAAACATACCACAATTAAAACATACTTCAAATGATACCCACTAGGGAAATTAAAAGATAACCTGAAGAATAAGAAACAGTTTTCACAAGTTCTGTGTCTGATTGGGACTTGTAGCTACTAAAAATCTATTATAACTAAATAATAAAAGTTCCAGGTTGAAAATGGGCATAGGGTATAAATAGACACTTCTCCAGAGAAGATGTACAAGTGACCAGAAAACTGATGAAAAGATGATCAGCATCCTTATCCATCTGGAATATGCAAATTAAAATCACTATGAGATATTGCTTTGCACATACTAAAACAGCTAGAAGCAAGAAGACTGATAAGCATTTGGGAAAGATATGGAGGAATTTCTACTCCTAGTGAAAATGTCAAATGGTTCTTCAAACAGTTAAACATTGTCATCTGATTCAACAGTTCTATTCCTAAATATTTACATAGGAGAAATGAATACATATGTTCACATGCTAACATACACAAATATTTATAGCATAATTCAAAATAGCCAAAAAGTAGAAACAACCAAAATATTCATCTGATGTTGGATAAATAAATGTAGTATATCTTTACCATGAAATATTATTTAACAACAAAGAGTTGATACCAAGTGGAACACAGATAAACCTTGAAAACATTTTGCTAATTGAAAGAAGCCAGCAACAAAGAACCATATATTCTCTGATTCCATGTCCATAATGTGCAGAAAGGCAAATCTATAAATGATAAAAGTTAATTAATAGTTGCCTAGAGCTGGTGGGGAAGATTAGGGGAAGACAGCTGTGGCGTGTGAGGATGATTTGGGGGATCATGAAAATGTTCTAAAGTTGCTTGTGTTAAACAGTATGAAACACTCACAGACCCATTATATTGCAAGCTACTGAACTGTGTACTTTCAATGGGTGAATTGTATGGGCTATGGATTATACCTCAATAAAGCTGATCGCTTCTTTAGTGATCATGACAAACAGCAAAAGATTAAAGTGCGGTCAAGCAAGACTTTTGATTTTTACCTCCTCCTAGATTTGCCCCCTGTCAACTTCTAAAGGGATGGCATCAGAATTTACCAAGTGATCCAACCAAATAACCCATGGTTATCCTTAACTCACTTCCTTATGTCCTACATCAAAGCCAGTATACCTTAAAGACAAAGCCCAAGGCACTCACTTCTCGCCATCCCCACTGTTCCCAGTTTCCTCTAATCCATCATCATCTCTTCCTTGCGCTACACCCACAGAGTCTTCTTGTGCCTCCATTCTTGCCCCCTATAATTCAGTCACCCTCCAGCTGTCATGATCTGCTTTTATAAACATGTATCAAATTATATTCCTTGCCCAAAAATCCCCCTGCTGTTATCATATTTTTTGAAAAATCCTAATAGTTTACAAGACCCTTGCCTACTTCCCTGGATTTCTCTTTCCCCTTTCTCCCCCTTGCTCACTCCAGGGGGGCTTTCTTGCTGTTCCTCAAACATACCAAGTTCATACCTTCCTCACTGTCTTTGAGCCTGCTGTTCTCTCTACCTGGAGTGTTCCTTCCATAAATCTTTGCATGGTTCCCTCTTAATTGTGACTCAAATCTCTGCTCAAATGCAAACTCCTCAGGGAGACCCTACCTACAGAAGGGTCTCACTTTACTTCCAATACTCTGCTTTAGTTTTTACTGTGCTTCCTATTATCTGAAATGATTTATCTGGATACTTAGATATTCTCTGTCTCTCCCCAGTATAATGCAAGCTCTTTTCTTTCTTGTTCACCACAATGTCTTTCCACCTAAGGCTGTGCCCAGCACATTTTAGCATCTCGATGATTGTTTGTTGAATGAATGAAGCAATGGATGCTCTGGTAGGAAGCAACCTGGAGAACTGACTCTTCTCATTGGCTGTCACCAAGGCAACAGCCAGACTGCCTAGTCCCACTGGCCCCCAGAGCTGCTCCATTGCTGACACTATGTGGGGCAGCAGATCCCACAGAGGAAGAATGAGAAGGATTCCTTTTTACTATCCAAACAAAATCCATAAACTCGATAAGTTCAAGCCTGAGAAACTACCCATCTCATTTTCTGCTCACCCAACTCCTCTTCCTCAGTGACTCTCCTTTGTCTGGCCTTACAGCTCCCTTTATATTAAGGACATATAACAAGTTTCCTTATAAAATAGGCAAAAGTGAAAGGGTGGTGCTGTATTGTGCCTCCCACCCTGTCCCAAAAGATATACTGACTCCCAATTGCTGGCACCTGTGAATGTGACCTTATCTGCAAATTGAATTTTTGTCTGAAGTTAAGACAAGGTCATGAGGGTTGGCCCCAATCCAAAAATGACTGATGTCCTGAGGAGAAGAGGAAAATTCCATGGGAGAGCAGGGAAGAAGAGACACGCAGGGAGAATGTCACGTGATGGTGGAGGCAGACCTTGAAGTGCAGCAACTAGAGCCAAGGAGAGCCTGGGGCTCCCAGAGCCTGGAAAAGATAAGAAAGGATCCTCCGCTGCAAGGCTCAGAGGGAGCTTGGCCCTGCCGACCCTTGATTTCGGGCATATAACCTCCAGAACTGTGAAAAACTGAATTTCTGTTGCTTTAAGTTTCCCAGTTTGTAGTGTTTTGTTATGACAGCCCTAAGGAACTAATATAAGTGCCAATTTGTTTGCAGGGCCAAGAATGTATAAAAACATCTAAGTTTCTTTCACAAACACAGCAGTCTCAGTACCCTGTGGATCGGTGCAAGCCCGACTTGGGTGGGTATTCTTTCCTGAAATGTATGTGCATTCATGGAGCGGGCTTGGGTGACTATATTAGTGCTTTGCTTTAATTACTACAATCAACCTCAATAACCGCCAAATTAGAGGGCCCTACATTTTGCTAAATTAACTATTGCCATTCTGTCTTATAACTTCAAACACTTTTAGAACAAAGCTGGATATCAATCTATTTAAAAAAATAGGTAGAAAAATCAATAGGCAAGCCTATAGATAAAGGCAACTCATTATTCTCTGGATGAGACTGTTCTG